TAATAATGATAATAATTACAATAAATAAATGAATAAAATAAAAAGGTTAGGCATGGCAGCTCATGTCTGTAATCCCAGCACTTTGGGGAGGCCAAGGCAGGTGGATCCCCTAAGGTCAGGAGCTTGAGAGCAGCCTGGCCAACATGACAAATCCTCGTCTCCACTAAAAATACAAAAACTATCCGAGCATGGTAGCACACACCTGCAGTCCCACCTACTCAAAATTAGGAGGCTGAGTCAGGAGAACCCAGGAGGCGGGATGAACACAGAAGGCTGAGGCTGCAGTGAGCTAAGATCATGCCACTGCACACCAGCCTGGGTAATAGAGCAACACACTGTCTCAAAGAAAAAAAGAACAACCAAAAACTAGTAATAAATTGAGTAAAAGTATTTATAATTCTGTATTCTACTTCCATAGGACCGATCAAAGTCCAGAAAGTTCAGTTTCCATGATGTAATATGATATGAAATCTTGCATTGCTGAAGCTAGTCTTTTCTTCTTTTTTGAGACGGAGTTTCGCTCTTGTTACCCAGGCTGGAGTGCAATGGCACGATCTCGGCTTACTGCAACCTGCGCCTTCTGGGTTCAGGCAATTCTCCTGCCTCGGCCTCCTGAGTAGCTGGGGTTACAGGCATGCGCCACCATGCCCAGCTAATTTTTTGGATTTTTTTTAGTAGAGACAGCATTTCACCATGTTGACCAGGATGGTCTCGATCTCTTGACCTTGTGATCCACCCACCTCGGCCTCCCAAAATGCTGGGATTACAGGCTTGAGCCACCACGCCCGGTCGAAGCTAGTCTTTTTAGTAGAGATGAGGTTTCACCATGTTGGCCAGGCTGGGCTCAAACTCCTGACCTTAGGTGATCTGGCCAACTCGGCCTCCAAGAGTGCTGGGCTTACAGGCATGAGCCACCATGCCTGGCCATGAAAGGCTAGTCTTTTTAGTTCTTGAAAATAGTGCTTTTAGTTTAGAGGCTGTGACTGATGTAACTAACAGGGCTTATTTTTTGGTTTTCAGTGAGGTGCTGGCGGAGGAGTCCATAGTATGTCTGCAGAAAGCCCTAAATCACCTTCGGGAAATATGGGAGCGAATTGGGATTCCAGAGGACCAGCGGTTACAAAGAACTGAGGTGGTAAAGAAGCATATCAAGGTGGGTTGAATAGTACTGGGCTGTGCATTGGACCATGGTAAGAATGTTTGGTGTCTCACCTCTGATAGCATACAGAAAGGATATGTGATCACAGCATTAGGATAGCACAGGCTCTTCCTGTTTGGTCCCTTCTTGATGTTTGATGAGGCTGGGCACAGTGGCTCATGCCTGTAATCCTAGCACTTTGGGAGGCTGAGGCATGTGGATTACTTGAGGTCAGCTTGACCAACATGGTGAAACCCCGTCTCTACTAAAAATACAAAAATTAGCCAGGTGCAGTGGTGGGCACCTGTAATCCCAGCTACTCGGGAGGCTGAGGCAGGAGAATCCCTTGAACTCGGGAGGTGGAGGTTGCAGTGAGCCGAGATCTTGCCATTGCACTCTGGCCTGGGTGACAGAGTGAGACTCAGTCTCAAGGAAAAAAAAGGAAAGAAAAATTTGAGGAGTTTGGTGTTGGGAGTTTTTTTCCTCCATGGCCTCAGTATTATGGATTGTTTTCTCTCTTGTAGGAACTCCTGGATATGATGATTGCTGAAGAGGAAAGCCTGAAGGAAAGACTCATCAAAAGCATATCCGTCTGTCAAAAAGAGCTGAATACTCTGTGCAGCGAGTTGCGTGTTGAGCCATTTCAGGTCCGTGACAGCCCATGGAGTCTCTAGGGAATCTGTGTAGGGCCTGAGATTTAGGAAGCAACATTGACTTGGGCCTGCAGATAACGAGAGGCTTCCTCGTAGGGGTGGAGCTAGACATGAGAAATGGGGAGACGTGGTGCATTGTTAATTAGGCCCTGCAGAAGAATTCTCACCTCTGTGGAGAGCTGCCCTCGGGAGAGGTGAAGCAGCTAAGAGATGATCAGAAAAAAGCTGCCGTTTACCGTAGTTTTGCTTTGTAGATTTTTTATAAACTCTGAGAAAAAGGTAGGTATAGATAGTGCTGCACTGTTTTTCTCGAAAAGAAAATGAAAACAGGAAGCACAATTAATGACAAAAAGGAATACTACCCAAAAAAAAACAAGCTTTGTGGGTTTTATCATACCCAGAAGCTGCATACACTGAACCAACCAAAACAGCTACTTCAGAAGAAATGTCTTAAAAGCAGGAATATCAGGAGTGCAAAGTCCAGTTCAGAACATGCCCTGACATCTACTGGTGGATGGAGCTGAGACGTGGCTATATTGTGGGTCACTGCAAGTCAGACTTGAGTGAGGACACCAGCAAGGATGAAATGAAACATGGGGTATTGAAACATCTCTGCTTAGAACCAGTGGAAGCAGTGCCAGGATCATAAAAATTAGGACAGATGTGGAGCTTGAAAAGATAGTGAGTGCAACCAGAAGGTTCTCAGGTCCCTCCTCTTACAGGAAGCTGCCTAGGTATCTGTTTGGAGTTAGCCTAGGAGGGAGACCATCTTTAAAGTGCAAAGGATATCCACACCTGGTAGCCAAGAACAATCAGGCAGAGGAGAACATGAAGTGGAGCTTCCTGGAGTCAACATAAATGTCTTAAATATAATAGATTAGTTCACAATGTTAAATGAAATTGTGTAAATTTATAGGACATATAAGAATAATTTCTATGTCCTATTAATAAAAAGCCACTTTTAGGCCAGGCGCGGTGGCTCACGTCTGTAATCCCAGCACTTTGGGAGGCCAAGGCAGGTGGATCATGAGGTCAAGAGATCGAGACCATCCTGGTCAACATGATGAAACCTCGTCTCTACTAAAAATACAAAAAATTAGCTGGATATGGTGAGCGCGTGCCTGTAATCCCAGCTACTCAGGAGGCTGAGGCAGAATTGCCTGAACCCAGGAGGCGGAGGTTGCGGTGAGCCGAGATCGCGCCATTGCACTCCAGCCTGGGTAACGAGCGAAACTCCGTCTCAAAAAAAATGCCACTTTTTCTTTCCTGATGCCACTTTTTCTTTCCTGGTTACCAGTTAGGAGTATGGCAGGGACAACTAGATCGGTTTTTGTTGGTAAGGTGAGATGATGTCCATAGAAGGATGAGTATTTAGATAAGAGCTAGGCATACCACCCTACAGCTAACCGAAATCAAGCTCTCCAGCCAATTTACACTTTATAAAAGTGCCCAGTGCCTGGAGAAATCTAATCTAGGGACAAAAGGTAAAATGGTGGTTGCCAGGTGTGGGGAAGGGAAAAACTGGAGACTTACTGTTTAAGTATGAAATTTTACTTTTGCAAGAGGAAATGCATTTGGAAGTGATGGTCAGGGTTGCATAACAATACAGCTGTACCTAATACCACTGAGCGGTATGCTTAATACCATTGAACGGTACACTTAATACCACTGAACTCTACACTTAAGACCACTGAATTCTACACTTAATATCACCGAATGGTGTACACTCAATACCACCAAATGGTACACTTAATACCACTGAATGGTATATTTAATACCACTGAACTCTACACTTAACACCACTGAACGGTACACTTAATACCACTGAATAGCACACTTAGTGCCACTGAATGGTACAATTAATACCACTGAACAATACAGTTAATACCACTGAACAGCACACTTAGTGCCACTGAATGGTACACTTAATACCACTGAACTCTACACTTAATGCCACTGAACAGTTCACATTATCACTGAACTGCACACTTAATGGTTAAGAAAGTAAATTTTATATTCTACCATAATTTTTTTAATTGGGGGGGAAAAAGTACCCTGGTATCTGTTGACTTTTCTTCACTGGGACCTTCCTTAGGAAAACCTTTGTGCCATTTTCTGTTGTCCATGAGTTGACTGACTTGTAAGTTTAACTGAAAGTCTGTCATCCTAGCCACCTTCTCTTGTCTTTATCTTCCTTTGAAGGAATTCACTTGGAATCTTATAACAGTGGTACATTGTCTTATTCAGGAAGAAGGAGAGACTACCATCTTGCAACTAGAAAAAGATTTGCGCACGCAGGTGGAATTGATGCGAAAACAGAAAAAGGAGAGAAAACAGGAACTGAAGCTACTTCAAGAGCAAGATCAAGAACTGTGTGAAATTCTTTGTATGCCCCACTATGATATTGATAGTGCCTCTGTGCCCAGCTTAGAAGAGCTGAACCAGTTTAGGCAACATGTGGCAACTTTGAGGGAAACAAAGGTACACTGCCTACATTCATACTTCCTAAAAGTCACTTTGGTTTTCCTCTAGGTATCTTGTAATTGCTTTGTTTTAAAGGCTTCTAGGCGTGAGGAGTTTGTCAGTCTAAAGAGACAGATCATACTGTGTATGGAGGAATTAGACCACACCCCAGACACAAGCTTTGAAAGAGAAGTGGTGTGTGAAGACGAAGATGCCTTTTGCTTGTCTTTGGAGAATATTGCAACACTACAGAAGTTGCTATGGCAGGTACTGTCTTCTCACATTATCCCTGGAATCTCCCTAGTATAGAGCAGTTTGAAAAAACTGACAGTTGCTGGGTGTGGTGGCTCACGCCTGTAATCCCAGCACTTTGAGAGGACAAGGCAGGCGGATCACAAGGTCATGAGTTCAAGACCAGCCTGGCCAATATGGTGAAACCCCATCTCTACTAAAAATACAAAATTAGCTGGGCGTGGTGGCACATGCCTATAGTCCCAGCTACTTGGGAGGCTGTCTCAAAAAGAAAACAACAAAACCAAACACAATTTTTCTTCAGTCTTAAATAAGGAGCCAACCTCAGGTAAGAGAATGAGAGACGATAACAACAGTAATATATACAATCTTGATTTTTGTTTTGTAACAGTTAAAAAAACATTATATGTAGCTCCAAGAAAATGAAATTGAAATTATAGGTGAAATAATATTAGTCATTTGAAGTAGCCTAGTGTTTTAAACATTCTTTTCAGTTCTTTTTTTTTTTTTTTTTTGAGATGGAGTTTTGCTCTTGTTACCCAGGCTGGAGTGCAATGGCATGATCTCGGCTCACCGCAACCTCCGCCTCCTGGGTTTAAGCAATTCTCCTGCCTCAGCCTCCTGAGTAGCTGGGATTACAGGCACACACCACCGTGCCCAGCTAATTATTTGTATTTTTAGTAGAGACGGGGTTTCACCATGTTGACCAGGATGGTCTCGAATCTCTTGACCTCGTGATCCACCCATCTCGGCCTCCCAAAGTGCTGGGATTACAGGCGTGAGCCACCATGCCCGGCCCCATTCTTTTCAGTTCTAAATTTGAATGCTAATTCTTGGAGTCTTAGATCATGACAGCCTTACAGCTTGTGTTTAGAAGGCATGAAAACGCTGCTTTGAACTCTCATGGAAGGGCCTCCTCTCCCTGTGTATCCAGACATTTCTTTGAAGGAAGCCAGAGGGCTAGTCTCTGTGCTACTGCTTTGCTGTGAATGACACTGACATTTCTGTGCTGTAGCTGGAAATGCAGAAATCACAAAATGAAGCAGTGTGTGAGGGTCTGCGCGCTCAAATCCGAGAGCTCTGGGACAGGCTGCAAATACCTGAAAAAGAGAGAGAAGCAGTGGCCACCATTATGTCTGGGTCAAAGGCCAAGGTTCGGAAAGCGGTAAGAAACCCAATGGGTGCTGGGTCAGCAGTCTTCTCTCAGCACTTTTGTGTTAGTTATAGAGAGTGTTGATTTGGTTGGGCACAGTGGCTCATGCCTGTAAGCCCTGCACATTGGGATACTGAGGTGGGTGGATCATTTGGGGTCAAGAGTTCAAAACCAGCCTGGCCAACACAGTGAAACCCCATCTCTACTAAAAATATAAAAATGAGCCAGGTGGTAGTGGTGTGCGCCTGTAACCCCAGTTACTTGGGAGGCTAAGGCAGGAGAATTGCTTGAACCTGGGAGGCAGGGGTAACAGCAAGCTAAGATTATGCCACTGCTCTCCAGTCTGGGTAAGAAAAAGAGACCCTGTCTCAAAAAAAAGTGTTGATTTATAATACCTCTATGGCTTTGCATTATAATTTTACTTAAAAGGGGGGAAACTTTTGCAAACCTAACAGAAGTATGGCAGCCACCCTTAGCAAGCCTCTTTCTTTCAGCTGCAATTAGAAGTGGATCGGCTGGAAGAACTGAAAATGCAAAACCTGAAGAAAGTGATTGAGGCAATTCGAGTGGAGCTGGCTCAGTACTGGGACCAGTGCTTTTATAGCCAGGAGCAGAGAGAAGCCTTTGCCCCTTTCCATGCTGGTGAGTACAGGACTGAGGTCTTTGGTTGGTTTGTTTGGAGACAGGTCTTACTCTGCTGTCTGGTCTCAAATTCCTAGGCTCAAACAATCCCCACTTTGCCTCCCAAAGTGTTGGGCCACCACCACACCCAGCCAGAAGTGGGGTCTTCATGTGGCCTGCTCACTAGTTTTTAACAAGTCCAGACATTCACCAGAAGTGTTTCCTCTTCTGAACAGATAATAGCAGCTTTCCAAGACATTGAGTATAACTGCCATTCCTGTATGGAAAAGCATTTGCAAGTATTATTGGGAAACATTGGCCTCTTGCTTTCTCAAGCAGTGTGTCACTATAGTCTCTAGCTGTGAAGCTTCAGTTTCTGTCGGTGCTTACTTTCTGCCAGGTGCAGTGTCAAACCCTTCACAATATTATTTCAGACTCCTCGTGTCAAGAGGTGAGGACACTAAAGCACATACTGCTGAGTAACTTAATCCAGAGACATACAGTGGGAAATGCCAGAGCCTCCGTGGGAGCCAAAAGGAGCTTGACTCCTGGAGCCCAGTGGAATTCTAGTCTGAGCTGAACTAAGTGTAAAGATGAAGCTATCCCAACTAAATTCAACAGATGTTTTTGCACATTTTCTGTGATCCCCCATCTACTGGCTGGGCAGGACAGAAAGGAAGAATATGAGCCGCTGGCCGCAGTGGCGCATGCCTGTAGTCACAGCTACTTGGGAGGCTGAGGCTGGAGGATCACTTGAGCCCAGGAGTTCTGGGCTGTAGTGTGCTGTGCTGATCAGGTGTCCATACTTAAGTTCTGCATCAATCTGGTGACCTCCCGGGAGCAGGGGAACACCAGGTTGCCTAAGAAGTTGTGAACCAGCCCAGGTTGTAAACGGAGCAGGTCAAAACTCCCATGCTGATCAGTAGTGGGATCGTTCCTGTGAATAGCCACTGCACTTCAGCCTTGGCAACATAGCGAGACCCGTCTCTTTAAAAAAAAAAAAAAAAAAAAAAAAAAAGGAACAATATGAAAGAAACCTGAGACAAGGCAAGAGATGATGCAGATTTTTGACGTTATTTTAGTGTCTATCCTAGTCTCTTAGGCTCTAGTCTCCCAGGCCGATTGTGACAAAGCTGGTTTTTATTAACCACTATCATCATCTATTGCACAGACACAGGCCTGTTCCTGTATCATTTTACTATAAGGAAAAAAAATCTATTTCCATTTTAGGGAATGGGGATTCGTAAAATTGATACTAAACACTAGAGGAATTGTTTTTAAAATATTGGGCCTATATTTTGCAGAGGACTACACAGAAAATCTGCTCCATCTCCATGATGCTGAGATTGTGCAGTTAAGAAACTACTATGAAGCTCACAAGGAACTCTTTGAAGGTGTCCAGAAGTGGGAAGAAAGCTGGAGGCTTTTCTTAGAGTTTGAGGTACTGCCCTAGTTTATGTGTTTTTGTTTCAACTGGTTTTTTTTTTTTGAGATGGAATCTTGCTCTGTCACTCAGGCTGGAGTGCAATGGCACGCTCATGGCCCACTGCTACCTCCGCCTCCCGGGTTCAAGCGATTCTCCTGCCTCAGCCTCCTAAGTAGCTGGTCTTGAACTCCTAACCTCAGATGATCTGCTGGCTCAGACTCCCAAAGTGCTGGGATGATAGGCATGAGCTACCACACCTGGCAAACATTTTACATTTTTAAAATCCATTTTAAGGGTAAATTTAGCAAAAACCAGATTATCTATAAATCTCACTGGGCACATTTAAGCTGCATTGTTTCAGAATGCCGGCAGTGAGTGAGCAACTAAAGGGGCCACCATCAGATTTCTGAGTGTAGACCCTCCTCCTTGTCCCTTCACACACCTGTCTCCTGGAGAGATGTCATCTGACATCCAAACCAAGGAAGGAAGCCAATGATGTTAAACATTGGAGCCTGTCTTTTTAGATTAAAAAGAAACAGTAGTTTTCCTGCACCCCAGTGAATGATCTTGCCCATGTGTGAGAGTGTCCACAGCTCACTGGCTTTAGAACATCACCGTTCCTCACTGCCGAGAGCAGGCAGGAATGCAGACCTCTTTGAGTGGCTTTAATCATATATATCATTTTATGAGAACAAAGCGTCTTAGCAGAAGTTACTGGTCTTACGGTGCCAGGTTTTCCACTAACTGTATTTTTCACAGAGAAAAGCTTCAGATCCAAATCGATTTACAAATCGGGGAGGAAATCTTCTAAAAGAAGAAAAACAACGAGCCAAGCTCCAGAAAACGCTGCCAAAGGTAATATTGTTGCTAAGGGTTTTGGTGCTTGGCTACAAAGGTACCTCACTATTTGTATGTCTTTTTCTTTCTATTGTTTTGCCTCAAAAGTATTTTCTTCAAAGCTTCAGTAGAGATAAGAAGTTCTATATTCCGTATAAGCAACTGAGTATCAAGGCACACTCCTTTGCTAGGACTGCCATCATAAAGCATAGTGGACTGGGCAGCTTTGACAACAGCAATTCATCCTCTTTCAACTCTAGAAGCTGCAAATCTGAGATCCACATGTCATTGGCAGAGCTGCTTTCTTCTGAGCCTTTCGTCTTCTCCCTGTGTCTGCACATGGTTTTCCTGTGATATGTGTGGCCTAATCACTCCTGGTCCTATGAAATTAGGGCCCACCTAATGACTTCATTTGAGCTTAATTCTTTTTTTTTTTCCCCCCCCCAAGAGATGGGGGTCTCGCTATGTTGACAAGGCTGGTCTTGGACTTCTGGCCTCAAGTAGTCCTCCCATCTCTGCTTCAGGAACGCTAGGATTACAGGAAATGAGCCACCATACCTGGCCTTAATTATCTATGTAAAGATGTTGTCTCCAAATACAGCCACATTCTGAGGTACTGGGGGTTAAGGCTTCAATATTTGAATTTGCGGGGGAACGTAATTCAGCAAGTTAGTAAGGAAAGCTTTTGAGAGAGTGTGTCCTATTGGCTTCATTACCATTTTCCACTTTGATGATGATAACCATTTTTTGAGTGTCAGGGATATCATTTCAAAACACTCATTTAGTAATTCATCTAATCCTTACAATACCCCTGTGAGGTTGGTATTATTATTTCCATTTTTGCAGACAAGGAAACTGAGGTACTAAGAAGTTAGGTAAATCTGGCCAGATATGGTGGCTCACTCCTGTAATCCCAGCACTTTGGGAGGCTGAGGCAGTTTGAGACCAGCCTGGCCGACATGACGAAACTCCGTCTACTAAAAATATAAAAACTAACCAGGTGTGGTAGTACATGCCTGTAATCCCAGCTACTCTGGAGGCTGAGGCACAAGCCCAGGAGGTGGAGGTTGCAATGAGCCGGGATCATGCCACTGCACTCTAGTCTGGGCGACAAAGTGAGACTCTATCAAAACAAAAAAAAAGTGATGTAAATTTGCAGACTGCTTCACAGCCACTAACAGGGCGATTCCAGATTGAACCCCATTAAGTCTGATTCCAGAGTCCTGCTCTCGATGTTCACTGCCTGCCTCATATTGCTGATCTTCCCTATGCTGCCTCCAGCTTCAGGCACCAAAACCTTAGTGGTCAAACTCTGGGTTCTTGCCATTTTCCACTCTGTTATATTGTGTGAATGAAATGTCTGTCCCAGGCTTTGATTTCTAGTCACTCTGACCTGTAGCCTGTGTGCCCAGCTACCTGAAGTGAGGCTAATGATGCTCTGGGATGGAGGAGTCACTCTCTAGGGAAATCATTTCATTTGGGCTTTACAAAAAAGAATTGAAGTTATGAACACGTCCTTCTTTCTGGTCTCAGCTGGAAGAGGAGTTGAAGGCACAAATTGAACTGTGGGAACAGGCACATTCAAAGGCCTTTCTGGTAAATGGGCAGAAATTTATGGAGTATGTGGCAGAACAATGGGAGATGCATCGACTGGAGAAGGAGAGAGCCAGACAGGAAAGAGTAAGTAAAACGGTCATCTGAGCAGCCCACAGTCTCTGCCAGGGACCGCGGTTTGTGGAATTGGGAGCCCATGGCAGCTCTTTTTAGCTCTGTCTGCAGAGACATGAGCCTATATTCTAGGCCCTGCTGCTGTTCCCCTTCCAGGCCTGCTTTCTTCCTAAGATTTATCACTGTTGCTTCTGACTTTCACACAGCAACTCAAGAACAAAAAGCAGACAGAGACAGAGATGCTCTATGGCAGTGCTCCCCGAACACCCAGCAAGCGGCGGGGACTGCCTCCCAACACACCTGGCAAAGCACGTAAGGTAAACACAATGCCTAGGGAAGCGCTGATTTCAAGGGAGTGGTAAGGGTAGTCCCAGCCACCTCCTGCAGTCTGTCCTGCAGAGACGGGGAAAGGGTTTTTCTGTCCCTTCACGTTAAGTGCACTTGAGAGTGGATGGAAGGCTGAGTAGTGGCCTCTAGTGATAGTCATGAATGGCCAGCTTTGGTGTGTGCACTTGAGTCCTTGCATTAAACTCAGAGGGGGGCAATGATGGCCAACGTTCTGGTAATGATAAAAGCTTCAGTGGTTTTCCTAAAAACCTGTAATGTTATTTTCCCCCGTAAGGCTAACAGGTGGCCATGTGGTAGCATGTGAAAATGTTCATGCTTACTCTGGAACATGTAATGATTCTTCATCTCTACAGCACAGAGTCAGACAGGACTTCATTATTTTTTTACATTTTGCTTTTAAGACAGAGTTTTCACTCTTGTTGCCTAGGCTGGAGTGTAATAGTGCGATCTCAGCTCACTGCTTCTCCGCCTCCCAGGTTTAAGCGATTCTCTCCTGCCTCAGCCTCCCAAGTAGGTGGGCCTACAGGCACCTGCTGCCACACCTGGCTAATTGTTTTTTTTTTTATTAGTAGTAGAGACAGGGTTTCACCATGTTGGCCAGGCTGGTCTTCAACTCCTGACTTCAAGTGAGCCACTGCACCTGACCAGGAATTCTTTATATGCTCTGGATGCAACTCCCTTGCATTACACTAACATCTCCCAGGGGCCAGGCACATTTCCATGGTCCTCAAAGTTTCCTAGTGCCTCTTTGTATGACCTCCCTCTACCCTTCCCTAGCGCCTGGTTTGCCCCCAGCCTCCTAGCTGTGGCTAGCAGGGATTTACTCTCATTACAGTTTGTACTTTGAAATATTTTACTTAGAATCCCACAGTATCTGGCTTCTTTCATTTAGTAGATTCATCTCTCTTGCTGCATGTATCAAAAGGTCACTCCTTTTTATTGCTGATCAATATTCCACTATATGAATTTACCAGTTTGCTTGTCCTTTCACCTGCTGACGGGTAATTGGCTGTTTCTAGCTTTTGGCTGTTGGAGGTAGCTGCTATGAACATTTACATCTAAGCCTTTGTATGGATCTATGCTTCATTTCTCTTGGGTAGACACCCGTAAGAGTGGAATAGCTTGGTCATAAGAGATGTCTTGTGCCACAGTGGTTGTACCATTTTACAGTTCCATTTGGTGGCTATAAATAGGCTCTGAAAACTTTTGACAGGTTTCTTCAAAGCTATGCAGTATTAGACACAGCAGGCCCTTTACCATGTAAACCCATCTTCCCTGAACTGACCCCCATACTCATTTCTCTCTAGAGTGGAGACGGATTGCTGGAAATGCTGAGGATGTTCCTGCATGTCAGTAACCCATGTGTTCTTCTCCCTAGCTAAACACCACCGCCATGACCAATGCTACGGCCAATAGTAGCATTCGGCCTATCTTTGGAGGGACCATCTACCACTCTCCCGTGTCTCGACTTCCTCCTTCTGGCAGCAAGGTTAGTATGCCATGTATGAGCACATTCTCAGTGTCCTAGCCTGTTCACCCAGAGGCCCTACCTGCTTGTTCTACATTCTAAGATCTCTGCATTTGGTTCTTATTGATATGCTGGGAGCTGACAGAGGCTAGCTCATCATTCAATAATGGTCCAAAACTAATGTGCAAAAAAATAGAATAGTCACTCTGAGCCCCACTGGTACCATGGAAAGCCCTGGGATGTGTCTGGGAAATTGAAGATCAGGCAGGCGTCTCTGTAGACTCGAGTCCAAGCCCAGTCTTCAGCTGGTGTGGAGCTATACTCATTAGAGACGTGGAAAGTATGTGGTAAAACACATCCAGTCTTTCAAATATTTTATTAGGCTATGCTCCAAGATAGGTGTCCTGTAAATCAAGAATTCATATTTTTAAAAAACTTTTTTCTAGAGACAGGGTTTTGCCATGTTGCCTAGGCTGTTCTTGAACATGTGGCCTCAAGCAGTCCTCCTACCTTGGCCTCCCAAAGTGTTGGGATTATAGGCATGAGCCACTCACACCTGGCCCCATATTTTCAACTAAAAAGTATAGGACTACAGACATGAACATGAAGGTAGTCTCAGCCTTTAACTAGTGCAGGTATTTGTGTGTGTGTGTGTGTGTGTGCATGCACGTTCGCTAGGATGATACATGCCTCTCTTTCCTTTCTCTGCAGCCAGTCGCTACTTCCACATGTTCAGGGAAGAAAACGCCCCGTGCCGGCAGGCATGGAGCCAACAAGGAGAACCTGGACCTCAACGGCAGCATCCTGAGTGGTGGGTACCCCGGCTCAGCCCCCATCCAGCGCAACTTCAGCATTAACTCTGTTGCCAGCACCTATTCTGAGTTTGCGGTAATTCACCTTTTCTAATATCTACCAGTCTCTGGGGAGCACACAGTTGGGGCAGAGTGGGTATCTTCCGAGGGGCACCCAGGCTGTTAGCTAGGGCAGCTACCGTGGAGGCTGAGAATCCCTTTCCTGCTTTGACCATGGCAGGGTGGGTGTGATTTAAAGCAGGTGGTATATAGGAAGGAAGTTGGCAGCAGCAACTAGACATTTAACCTGGATCCTTCTCCTTAATATATACCATTCCCTGGCTGCGGGAGGTGACCCCTCTATCTCTGCCCTGGTGCTCTCTTGGTGGAGTTCTTGGTAACTGTCTTAATTCTTTGTTCTTAGAAGGATCCGTCCCCCTCTGACAGTTCCACTGTTGGGCTTCAGGTCTGTATGGCAACCCCTGCATGTCCCTTTTGAAATTCATCTGGGTATAGGGCTACACTAACCGGTCATCTCGGCAGTGTTTCAAAGGAAGCAAGAATTCCTCTCATGGACTCAAAAAACACATCTGACTTACATTCATTACAGATTAGCCTAATGATTAATAAGAAAACTTGTCAGACTTGAATTGGATTCTCAGCCTCTAATGTCAGGCAGTTTTTAAAAATTGTGTTTACGGAAAACCTTAACCCTCCCCAGTTGTGACCTCAAAGGCCTGCAATAGCTGGAAGGAATAGAGGCCCCATCACTCGGGGAGGGGAGCCCCAGCTGTGTGCTGCCGACAGTGAGGCTCTTGGCCTGTGTGCTGATTATTTCCTGGAGTATATGCCTTCTTAACCCCTCAGGGCTGAATCGCCAGCTCTGTCTCCTCTCAGCTAACTAATGCTGATTTCCTCACCTTTGCCTCTTTACATACATTGAGCTATTGACGAAGAGATGAAGCACTGGAGAAAAGGTTTTCCAGAATGCTCTTCACTTTCTAGTACCCTACTCTATATTTGCTAACACCTAACAACAATGCCTTTTACTGAATCTGTGTTCTCTCAATATTTTACTAGGGAGAGGTGAGGCTGTCCCTTATCCTTGAGGGGATATTGAGTGAAACCCTAGCCTGCCTCCTCTCCTGATGGCCGCAGAGATGGAGAACAGAACCGGCCGGCTAAGGCTGTGACTGGTTTTGATCACAAACTGGCTTCTTACTCTGGCATGTTTTCAAATTATGTGGCTGGTGGTGCTTCCACCTATAAACGTGGGTGTGTGTCACTGTGGCCAACTGATTGCTGGACAGAGGTCCAGCTTTCTCTTTCTGCTTGTTCACCCAAGGCCCATTTCATCTACATGAGGCTGAAATGTACCTGCCCATCTCTGTGGCTAGTCCTAGGCAGGTTCATCTGGTTTGGTTGCTATAGCTGATAGACTCCACCAGGCAGCACCCAAGCCACTAAACTAACCTCTGCTCACATCTTTCTCAACGGCTATACCATGTGCTCCAGCATGAGATCAAATCACCAGCAGGTTACAAGGCCCTCAGCCCCAGGGATTGGTAGATATATGTTCTGGCCCATTATTTTATAAAGGGCCCGTAAGATTAAAGCTTGTTGCCTACTTACCTTGACAACTCTAATGTACCTTTGTGAAGTTTAGTCGTGTGTCAATGACAGGGATATATTCTGAGACTGAAATTGCCCCACCACAGGGTACACATTTCATAGAGTGTACTTAACAGTCCTAGACAGTACAGCCTACACACCTAGACTATGGGGGTTGGTGTTTTCCTCCCAGGCTACAAACCTTTGCACCATGTTACAGAATACTGTGGGCAATTGTGGGTTTTGATTCAGGCTATTCCTGGGATATTGTAGGCAATTGTAACACAGTGGTAAGTATCTGTGTATCCAGACATAGAAAAGGTACAATAAAAATATGGCATAATCTTAGGGGACCACATGGTAGATGTAGCCTGTCATTAACTGTCATTATGCCGTGCATGACGGTGTGAAGGATTTCCCTTCTGTGAGAGATAACAGAATGGACTGGCTGAGGAAAGAGGTCACGGGCATGGGTGTATCGCTCTATGACTAATAGAATGGTGCTCCTAATGCAACCTATGCTGCGCTAGGGATCTCAGAGAAACTGCCTTCAGGGGACCTTTTGCTGACACTTACCCATACTTAGAAGGGCGGGGCATGTGGGATAGAGGCAGTATTGCCACTGATGTTACTTGTTTTTCAACAGCGAGAACTTTCAAAGGCTTCCAAATCTGATGCTACTTCTGGAATCCTCAATTCAACCAACATCCAGTCCTGAGAAGCCCTGAGCAGTCAACCAGCTGTGGCTTCCTGTGCCTCATTATATGGGGGAAGCTTTAGTTTTTCTTCAGCTTAGGCATGCTCAAAACCCTAGCCTTGGACAGGCTCCATGAACATAGGCCTATTTAGAGATGTAATGAGCATTACAGATGAGTCCACCACAGGTTTAGTGGTCCTAGGAGACTTAGTTTTGACTTGAAAAGTTTACGGCAGAAAGTGCAAATTTTAGCATATGGGGCCTGACTTCTTCTCTACCACATAATTCTACTTCCTGAAGTGATCAAAAGCTTGTTTTATTTCACCAGTGTAGGAAAATGATTAACTGTGCCCATCCCTAGGATAATTTTGGCTTGTGTACTTGCAATTAGTAATTAACATCTTTTTTGTTTAGGGATGTTCAGTTAATGCTGTAGCTATCAGCTTTGCTCTCACCTGAAGGCTCGTCCCCACCACACAGGACAGCCTCCCTCCTGATGAGAATGGCTGTGTGTGTCCAAAGTTGAGATGGCCTGCCCTACTACTGCTAAAGAGGTGACAGGAAAGTGGGAGCTGTTATGTTAGATTGTGTTCAGTTCTGTTATGCAGTGCAACACCCTTTGTTGGCGGTATGTATGTATGAACACACGTGCTCGTTGGAACTCTTTCCTCAGCATTTGTCCCTGGCTCCAGTCTCCCCACTCCTGTGTCTGCTATGCTCGAGTTCTTCTATCCCTGCAGCTGCCAGCCACATCGGAGGCTGTTTGTTCCGATGGGTTGGGTTATCTTTGTCATGGAGATCTGGAACTTTGCACATGTCACTACGGGGGAGTTGTTTCTACTCTAGCATCTGCGATGAGGTACCCTCTTTGCCGACCCTCTCAATCACTACTCTTCCTCAAGCACTATTTATTCTTCCTCTGTCTGCCTGAACCAGTACTACTGTCAACATAGTGTAAATGGTTCTCAGAAGCTTACCAGTGTGGACTTGGTCTGTGTCAGCCATGCTGTTTTTAAAACACATAGAGAATTATTCTTAAAAATAAATTAAAATCTGTATACTTACATTTCAAAAGGATACAGTGTGGTGGTTCATGTTTTTTCCCTGGTCGCTTTTTGGTTGGTCTCTGTGAAAACCAGAAACAGAAAAGACTAAAAAAAGGATCTAGAAATTTTTAGTCACAAGTGTTAATTTTTTTGAATCTCACTGTCGCCCAGGCTGGAGGTGCAGTGACACTATATCTTACCTCACTGCAACCTCCACTTCTCAGGTTTAAGTGATTCTCCTGCCTCAGCTTCCCGAGTTGCTGGGATTACAAGTGCCCACCATCACACCTGGCTAATTTTTGTGTTTTTAGTAGAGATGGGGTTTCACCATGTTGGCCAGGCTGGTCTTGAATTCCTGACATCAGGTGATCTGCCTGCCTTGGCCTCCCAAAGCGCTGGGAAGACATGTGTAAGCCACTGCACCCAGCCAAGTGTGACTTCTTTTTTTAATCTTTTCTGGTACATTCCTAAATTAACATCTCATTCTCACAAGTTTTTGTGGGAAATAAATAAAAAATCTAACCCCTAATGTGAAAAGAGCAGAGGGAGTCCTAGGAAGCTTCTGGCTTCAATGCCTGTTGTCTCAATGTGGGAGTCAACAGTGTTAATAAGGGAGGATGGACAGAAACTGTACACCTGTGAAGGTTAAAACCGAAGAACCACCACCACAGTCAAGTCACCAAGCATCTCCATCAGAAGTTTCCTCCCAGTCCTTTCTTATTCCTCCTGCCCAGCCTCGCCCTGCCCAGCACTCACCAACTTCTTGCTGTTATTACAGATTAGTTTGCATTTACTACAGTTTTATGTAAGTACAATCACACAGCATATACTGTTTTGGTGTCGCTCTTTCACTGCTTTGAGGTTGACCCATACTGTTTCTTATATCCATAGTTTTTTTTTGTTTTTTGCTTAGTATTCCATGGTGTAGATACACCATTTTTTTCACCTGTGAGATTTTTCACATTTGGCTTTTCTCCAGTTTTTGGCTATTAAAAACAAGGCTGCTATACATATTCATATACAAGTCTTTGTATGTATATATATTTTTCCAGATAAATACCTAGGAGTGAAACTGCTGGATCACATCTATGGTAGGTATACAGTTAACTTTTTAAGAAATGCCAAGCTGGGACAGGTGCCGTGGCTCACACCTGTCATCTCAGCACTTTGAGACCAAGGTGGGAAGATCACAAGGTCAGGAGTACAAGACCAGCCTGGCCAACATGGTGAAACCCCATCTCTCCTAAAAATACAAAAATTAGCTGAGCATAGTGGCGTGCTTCTGTAATCCCAGCTATTCAGGAGGCTGAAACAGGAGAACTGCTTGAACTCAGGAGGGGGAGGCTGCAGTGAGCTGAGATTATGCCACTGCACTCCAGCCTGAGTGACAGAGTGAGACTCCATCTCAAAAAAGCCAAACTGTTTTCCAAAGCACAGTACCATTTTACACTCCTAGCAGTAATGTATGAAGGTTTCGGTTTCTCCACATCTTCACCAACAGCTGGTATGTTCAGCCTTTACATAATTCTACTTATTCTGTGTATGAAGTGGTGTCTCACTGGTTTTCATTTACAACTCCCTAATGCCTTTTCATATGCTTAGTTGCCATCCCTTCTGTCGTCTGTCAACTTTTGCCCATTTTAAAAAGTGGCTTGGCCGGGCATGATGGCTCATGCCTATAATCCTAGAACTTTGAGAGGTTAAGTCAAGTGGATCGCTTGAGCCCAGGAGTTCGAGACTAGCCTGGGCAACATGACACAACCCCATCTCTACTAAAACTACAAATATTAGACGTGGTGGCAGGTGCCTGTAGTCCCAGCTACTTGGGATGATTGCTTGAGCCCAGGAGGCAGAAGGTGCAGTGAGCCAAGATCGCAGGTGCACTCCAGCCTGGGCGACAGAGAGACCCTGTCAAAAAAAAAAAAAAAAGCCTACAATGAAACAGCACTTCACATCCATTAGGATGGCTATTAACCAAAAAAAAAAAGAAGTGTTGACATGGATGTGGAGAAATTAGGATCTGTGTGCACTTCTAGTGAGAATGTAAAATGAGGCAGCCTCTGTGGAAAACAGTAGGGCAGTTCCTCAAAAAATTAAACAATTACCACACAACCAAGCAATTCCGCTCTGGGTATATATCCAAAAGAACAGAAGCAGAGAATCAAAGAATTGTACACCCATGTTCACAGCAGCACTATTCACAGTAGCACTACTCACCTATCCACCAATGCACAGACAGATGAATACAGCGCAGTGCATACATTTAACAGAATCGTAGCCTTTAAAAGGCAGGAAGTCCAGATACATAAGCGACATCATGGATGAATCTGGAGGACATGCTTCTAAGTGAAATAAGCCAGTCATGAAAAGACAAGTACTATGGGATTCCACTTACATAAAGCACATAGGGTAGTCAGAATTACAGAAACAGAAGGTAGAATGGTGGCTGCCAGGGGCTGGGAAGGGGAGTGGGGAGTTCGGTATTTAATGCGCAGTTTCACCATGGAATGATGAAAAACTTACTCAAATGCATAGGGGTGGCAGCTACACAACAGTGAAAGGATATGTCACTCAACCATATCCTTAAAAATGGTTAAACTAATTTTTCTATTGTTGAACAAAAATTTTATGTTCAGTATATTTTACCACAATAAAAAAAGCTTAAAGACCCCATGGGTGGGAAATATTTCCTAAACCACACACACATGCACAAATATAAATTAACCATAAAGAATTAACATTTTATCAAAATAAGCTGACATCTGTAAAGCACTTTGAGCCTTACCTGGCATGGAGCAAGCACCATCTAAGTATTAAATAAAAATTGGTACTATCCAGAGACAGAAACAACAAACAGAAGATATTCTAAATACTAACAATCAAAAGACTGTATCTGAAATATACAAAAGAAAAGTCACTAAGAGAATACCAAACCTGAACAGGTGCTCTGTAACAGAAAACTCCAGTGGCCAACCAACAGATGAACTCAGCCTCAAGCAATCCCCCCCCAGCCTCCCAAAGTGCTGGGACTACAGGTGTGAGCCACCATGACCTGCCATCCAATACACAAATGAAAAGCTACTCAACCTCATCAGTATTCAGGGAAATGCAAATTAAAATCAATACGCATCTACCTGACACAGTCAACCCCACACTGCTGGTGGGAAACAGTTATCTAGTGAAATTAAAGGCATCTCTTGGCTTAGCAATTCAACTCAATGTTCTGCAGAGGAACGTGTGCACATGTGCACAACACTGCTCCAAGTATTACGTGGAATGACCAAAATCAGAAACGATAAAGATGACTATCAACAAGACTGTATCACTTGAGGTATACAATGGACCACCACATAGCATTAAAAGTGAATGAACTCCAGGACCCAACAAGGATCGCTCACACAATGCTGAGTGACAAAAATGACACAAAAGCACATATACAGGACGATTCCATTTACCTAACACTCAAAAGCAAACACCTACATTGAATAAAAATGCATACAAGAACGGCAAAATTCAAACGAAAACCCGGAAGGGACTGAAAAGGAAGATGACCTGGAACGTGCTCCCATCTCAGCTGCACATCAAATTTCCCTGGGTGAGGTGGGCGGAGCTTGGACTCTACCACTATCTAGGCCACACCCCCAGAGGCTTTGCTTTCACTGTCAGGATGCTGACCTTGGGCAGCAGTTTTCGATGGTCTCCAGCTGTTTCTAAAGCAGACAAGTTTAGGACCATGCCTGAAGGTGAAGGCAAAGACTGTGATGGAGAGGGGCAAATACAGGGCCCTTGGGGTGCAGGCAATAGTTTTCCTTGACCCAGATGGGAGTTTCACAGGGTTTTACATATACATACGCAAGTCAGCTCTTCCCTTTCTCCACAGCATACACGTAGGTGTTCCAGGGCCCACAGGTGATGGCCTTTACTTGGAGTTGTTTATCTACGAAGTATTCTACTCGGCGGGGCCGATCCCAGCTGCTGGTGTCCTCATGGCCTAGCTGTCCATATTTACCTAAAACGAAACCAGCCCCTTTGCATCGTCTCCACCGGGTCTTACTGCTTTCCCTCCAGGAAGGCACCCAGACTATCCAATGAGACGCTGGGATTATGCCCCATTGCTCTGTGACTCCAGGAGACCCAAGAGCCAGGTAACCCTGGGGATCCCCAAAAGGCCAGTAGCAACCAGCCACTCCAGGCTTCCCTGCTACCCAAGTTAAGATGTTCAGAGCACACATTTCCATTGTATATTTTTCTCTATCCAGTGTCAGATCCACAAAACGATGCTTTGTAAATGCTGATTGGACATTTCCTTCAGTGTTTCAGAGAGCTAGCTGGGTGGCACTGACATCTCCTCCATGACCCCATTGTCTGGTCTTGGGAGTATGCCTACATCTGTTCCAACCCCAGGGACGGGGCGGTCCTGGTATTCCCAGTGACCTGGCCAAGGCCCCTGCTTCCTCTAGTCTTGGCGGCTTTGTCACCTGCCCTGTACTCCCAGAGCTTTCCTCCCCTTGGTTTCAGGGTCACAAAAACAATCCTTTTACTTACCCCAGCCCCAGGTGTACAGGTCCCCTGTTCCTGAAAGCAAAAGGTCAGTAGCTGGCATCTGTCCAGCCTGGCTTGGCACAGCCCACAGCTAGCACATTGCAATCCTCATGAGATACAACTGGTGTGGATAACATATTCTCTTAACAACTGGCTGATCACATGCAGCATGGTAGAGAATCCTGAAGGAAACTCCTGTGTCAAGGTACCAAGCGCATGCCAGACTGGGCAGGCTGTGCTGTCAGAGGCGGCGGTGCACAGAGGCAAGAGAGCATCAGCCTCCCTCCAGAAGGAAGAATCCTCTGGGTCTGACAGGCTGGGGAGCTACTGCGAAACCACACAGCGGTTGGGGCTTATCCACTGAGCAAGGCAGCTTGCTCTGTAGGAGCCACAGAAGCCTTAAGACACTGGTTTTTCCTCGACCACACCCCTTTCTGCAGACACCAGCTCAAGTGAGCAGAGTGCCTTCCTGCTCCATCCTGAACCACCCTCCAGTCACACTCACGTGTCACCACAGCCGTGTGCCTGGATCCACAGCTGGCCTTGATTGCATCTGAGCCCAGGGGGAGATCCAGTAGAGCTGGGAAGGGCTGGACAGCTATGAAGGGGGCAGGGGCTCCATCCTCAGCCCCCGCCATTCTCTTCACCTGGGAGCCATCTGCATTCAGTCCTGTGGCTTTAAAATGATAATGATGTCAACACCGAGCCCTGAGCTAAGCCTTATTCACGCAGTCACTTATTACCACAACGGCTGAGGCACACGACTGCCTGGCTCCAAAGCTGGTGCTCCCAACTCCAGCGTTCTGCAGGCAGGTCTGGCACTCTTGGCACAAGTGTGGTGCCAAGGCTGGCATCAGCCTTGCCAATGCTCATAAGGGCTCGCATGCTCCATCTGAGAATGTAGCTCTCAGGCCACCATTCAGCCAGGAGTCAGGAATGACAGCCACATCCTGGGGCCGTGGCTGTGGGAGTCGAGTTGACCCTCACCTTCCCTTGCAACTGTCTCCCCATCCTCTGCCAGGCTCCTGGTAGGCAGGGCCAGCTGCCCTGATTCATTCCAGCCCCAGATATAGATATCCCCAGTTTCTGAAAGAGATCAAAGGGACACATTAACACTCTGGGAACCCCCTGCATCCATCCAAACACCCCTTCCCATCCGCTCCTGGGGACAACCAAAGCCAGCCTGACCAGGGTAGTGCTCCAGGCCAAGGTGCTTCCCCTCTGGCCCCAAGGGCTTGTCTTAGGTTCCCATCCCCTCAATGGCTTCAGGTCACCCTTTAAGTCCCTCACTGAACCTTCCACTTTCGTTCTTATGCTGCTAAATTGCCCCTCATTTCAGAGAGGTGTCCCTCAAAGTGCCCCAAAGGTCTCCCTTTCAAAACCACTGGGCTTGGGCCAGGTGCAGTGGCTCATGCCTGTAATCCTAGCACTTTGGGAGGCTGAGGTGAGTGAATCACTTGAGCTCAGGAGTTCGAGGCTAGCTTCAGCAACATGGTGAAATCCCTGTCTCTAAATAAACAAAACCACCCCTGGGCTGGCTTGTGCCCTTTTCCTCTCACCCACAGCGGGTCCTGTAGAAAGCCATGTGCAGCTCGCGCCTTCCCAGCAGCATACACTATAGCTTTTTGGTTGGAACAGCCGCTTAACACTAAACATCTCTAACAGCAGCAGCTGCTTTTATGAAGTGCTTAATCCATGCCGATGTTTTATGTGCTTTTCAAATAGAATCACTTAATTTGCACAACAGCCCTACACGGTATCGCCACTTACGCAGCATCCCTATTTTATTCACGAGACAGCTGAGGCACAGAGTGGTTACGTACCAGGCCCAAGGTCCCAGGGTCTGAGCAAGGATCTGGAACTAAGAAGCCTGGCTGGATGCCCATGCTTCAACCTTTACACCAACCTAAAGGCCTCGAATTCCTTCTAGACCTTGAGTGCGAGGCATCCCACTGGGCTATTTCCAGCCCTCTGGTCTCTTCTCTCCAGCCCAGTTTTTTTTTTTTTTTTTTTTTTCCTTTTTTTGAGACAGAGTCTCGCTCTGTCACCTAGGCTGGACTCACCATAACCTCTGCTTCCCAGCTCAAGCGATCCTCCAACCTCAGCCACCCAAATAGCTGGGACCACAGGCACCAGCCACCATGCCCAGCTCATTTTAAAATTTTTTGTCGAGACAAGATTTCACCAGGCTGGCTCAGCTCAGGGTTGGCAACCAGCCCAGGCCCATTCTATGAAAATATGGTGGGAGGGAAGGCATTGCTAAGTTTGTTTTGTTTGGGACGGAGTCTCGCTCTGTCACCCAGGTTGAAGTCCAGTGGTGCGATCTCGGCTCACTGCAACCTCCACCTCCCAGGTTCAAGCAATTCTCCTGCCTCAGCCTCCTGAGTAGCTGGTATCACAGGCACCTGCCACCACGCCTGGCTAATTTTTGTATTTTTAGTAGAGACAGGGTTACACCACGTTGGCCAGGATGGTCTCAATCTCCTGACCTCGTGGATCCACTCGCTTCAGCCTCCTGAAGTGTTGGGATTCCAGGTGTGAGGCACTGTGCCCAGCCAACACTGGTACTGTCTTAAGCCTCCCGGTGATCTAAGTAGCAGCCAAAAGAAAAGCCCCAGACACAGACACAGCTCACCTGCTCTCAGCCTCACCCTCTCTGCATGCGCTCTAACAGCCTAGGAGGGAGCTGCACCTGGACCACTAATCAGACCTCCTCACTCTGGCCAGCGCGGCACCATCACAGGACCACAGCCAGCAGCATCCTGGGGTCTGATGGGCACCCAGCATCTACTCTGTGCCACACATCCTGGCTCTGCCCTCTTCTAGGCCATTTATAAGCATTCTATCATTGCTGGCCTTCAGGTCTCTCATCTTTAGCCTTCTTGTCAAATTTGTTTCTTCTAGAATTGAAGCCATGAGGCTACAAACTGTCCTGCAAATGGAACCCTGAACATCCTTGGCTGGTGTTCGATATGTTCGTAGACATTTTAACATCAGCTTATCAATTTCTATTAAAAAAGAGAATTTTCGTCATGATCGCATCGGAACTATACATCAGTAAGGGAAGAACTGATGTCTTAACAATATTTCTGCAGGACGTCTGAGATACATTCTTTGTGATTTTGGATAATACGGAGAAATATGTCCTGTTGGTTTTTCAGTCACTGTGACAGCCTGACACCTGTTTCACTCCGGAACAATGCGGCCAACACTAAACCAACTTATAGAGAACCCACAGTTCAGTTTTACTCAGAGCAAAGAAAAAAGAAACTTTCAATCATACTAGAAGAAACTCGGCTACAGATTTGGAATCTGTACTCAAACTACACATGCAATGAGGACAATATTCTGCTAATCAATTTACTTACTGCTGCATTTGTCTACTGTTTGTCTAATATTAACAATTATAAACAGAGCAGTGCAACTAGTATTTGGAACGATCCTTACAGTGTTACAGTGTCAGGCACAACATCTCTTTTTCTTTTTTTTTTTTTTTGCCACTTATAGAGAACCCACAGTTCAGTTTTATTCAGAGCAAAGAAAAAAGGCTGCTGCAGCCTGTCTCCGCTCTCCTTGGCTCGGCTGCCCCCTCAACCCCATACTCTCTTGGCAGCACTGTAGAAAGAGTCCTGGCTGGGAGCAGGTGGGGATGGGAGGGGCGGTGAGACCAGTATCAGAGAAGCTAGGAACACATGCCAGAGCACAGGTGTCAGTGAGCGATGGTGGAGGCGGAGGCGGCTGAGGGTGAGGGGTACTAAAGAGTCAGAACTGACCGGGCGATGGACCGATGAGTGTGGAAGGAGGCCTGGGTAGGCCACCCACCCAAACTGGAAAACAGGAGGAAGGTTTGCACAAAATCACCAGCTCGCGTGGAGAAGCACCGCCACTCACCACTCACACACACAGAATGCCAGCCCCCCGCGGCCACCTCAGCCATGGCTAGGCCCTGCAACGCCTCCAAGGGCCTTGGCTCCAGCTCTGCCTCCAGGGTCCCATGGCCCAGCTGTCCATGCCTGAGCAAGGGAGACCCGCGTCAGCTACAGTCACTCTACGGGGTCCCCCTGTGCTTGCTTCTCCAGTCACCAACCCTCACCTGCCCCCACTCACCTGCCCCCGCCCCAGGAGAACACCTGGCCCACCGCGTCCAGCAGCAATGCGTGCTCCGCTCCCAGCTCCAGCTGGCGCACCCGCAGCTCCGGAGCCAGAGGCCGGTAGAAGGGGGGCCGCGGGCTCACATAGGCACGGGTGCTGGGCAGCAGGGGCAGCCTCCCAGCCTGGGCCTCACCGCCCGGATCGCCTTCCCCTTCGGCTTCCGGCACCACATCCTGGGCCCACAAGGGCTCCCCCCGCAGGGCAGAGCCGGGCGCCCAGGCCTGCAGTAACGCCCCCGACCCGGGCCCGGCGCGCAGCACCACGAGGAGCCCCTCCGAGGCCCACGCGTCCCTGCAGCTTCCCGCTGCGCCGCTAGCTGAGCCCGACAGCTCCAGGCGGCCTCCACCTGCGGACCGAAGAGCGGGCTGGGGAGGGGAAGGGATATGTCCCGGGGACCTAAAATTGGGGGCGGCGCTGGGGGCTGGTCTAGATTGGAAAAGGGTCTAGGGCAGAATGGAGGTGGGAATGGGGACCAAACCAGAATGTGGGGCTGGCGGCCTGAACCGGAGAAACACCCTGGACTGGCCGCAGTGGTGCGGAGAGGGGTCCGGGAGCTTGGTTGGAGTAAGCGGGGACGGGGCGGGGAGTGCTCACGGGTCACGAAGGCGGTGTAGCTCCAGCTCGCGCTCACGCGGCGGATGTCGACGCCCACGTGCAGCGGCTCGGGGCTGCGCACCTGGCGCCCGCGTCCGGAGCCCGGCGCCTGCCCGAAGCCGCAGAAACCGAAGCCGAACCAGGCCCCCCGCGGCTCCTCCGCCATGTCCCGGCAGCGCCTTCTGCAGGCCGCCACCTGGTTGTGCACGCTGGCTAGTCTCTGGCCTTCCAGGGGCTGGAGCTGCCTTATCTGTAAAATGGGGAAACTGTCATTCTCCTGACTACAAAGGCAGACGATGTCCGTGCCTCGAAGGTTCGCTGAGCGGGCGCCTTAGCTACTGCCCTACAGGATTTACAAAGATTCTCAAATATCCAGTGGGGCATTTCCCTGTCCTCCCTTTTGGCTTAAGCTCAGCGTGCCACAAAGTGGGTACAAAGTGGCCTGCCCTTTAGGCACTAGACTAGGATCCGGGCGCCCCCGACACTCCCACCCCGTCCCGCAGCTTCCCAGCATCTGGCACTTTATCCCATGTAATCTTGGGAACCAAAATTGTCCTGTTTTAGAGGAGATTCCCAGAGAAAGTAACTCTTACACAATCATACAGCTAGACAGAGAGGGGCAGAGGGCTGAAATCAGATTTCCCCCAACTCCGCACACAGTGCTCTGCCCCCCCACCCCACAGTGGAACGCAGAAGAGCACGTGGGAGGCAGTGCCCTGCACAGGTTACCAACACCTCGCGGTAACCTTAGCCAATTAACCCGAGTCCAACCACATTTTTTTCAGTTTACAAAGGGAGGAGGGGGCGGTGCTGTTTGAACCTACCTCACAGAATTGCTTGTAATAAATGCAAAGAAAAGGTTTGGTGCGAGTACATACACCATGATAAACACAGTATTAGCTTACTAAATCCAGTATTTAACGTTGACAAAAAAAAAAAAAAATCCCTGGATATCTTATTGGTTTTGAGAAACTTACACAGTCACAATTTAAACTGTACCTTATCTAGTCATTTATTCGTCCAGCAAGCATTTACTGAGCGATCCTCCTCTGGGTCAGTGAGGACAGCTGTCTGCTCCCAAGGAGGTAACCCTTAAATGGGGAGAGAAACGCAATCTCGTGGTTCCAACAGCAACGCCACTTGAAGCAGGTTAGGCTGGAGCAGGCTTTTTACTATTATTATTATTATTTATATAATAGAGACAGGGGTCTCAGTATCTTGTCCAGGCTGGTCTCGAACGCCTGGGCTCCAGCGATCCACCCGCTTCGGCTTCCCAAAGTGTTGAGATTACAGGCGTGAGCCGCATAGCCCGGCTGAAGCGCAATTGCACAGGCATTTTCAGGCCTCTGACGTCAGATCTTAGATCTCTCCTGCGACCCCAGCTCCTGGGCTCCTAAACCCCCATTTCCCAACCCAAGGGGGCCTCTGACCTTGATCTTGACCCTATGCCCTCTACCCTCTCGGCAGGTCCTTCCGGTGGGCAGCCTTGGTTGGAGACAACGCAGAGGCGCAGAGCGGCCGCCTCGGCATGGCCGCCCGCCCAGCCGGCGCCGACGTCACGCGGAGAAAAGGTTTGAAGAGCGCGCGGGGCAAGGCGGCCAATTGGCTCAGTCCCGTTCACCTTCCCACGGGGGCCTTTCTGGTTCCCGAGGTCCCTAGGTCTAGGCCAGGGCGCCGCTGCCAGGTCTGTGAAATGGGCTGAAACCTCCAGCGGGCGTTGCCAAGGCAGAAGTTGGACCAGATGGTCCCGCCCCTGCAGGCAACCGCGGGGCATGGAGCTCAGATTAGAACCACCGAGAAGACGCGCATTAAGACCCGAGCTATAGGGCTGGCGAGGAGTGACCCCCAAGGCGGACGGACCCCGCCACCAACCTGAGTCCGGGAACCTCGGCACCTCGGAACCAGACACGCGCCGGACCCTAGCCCAAACTGGAAGCAGCTTTTGACTTTCCACTGATTGGCTCGGGGCCCACCACGTGCCTCTGTCGAGCCAATGAGCCTCACGTGGGTTTAGCCCTCCCGGAAACAGGCTGGGGAGGTGGGAAGCCGGCTCGGCCCACGCAGCGCTTTAACCAGGCTCAGCGGGCCTCCAACCCTAACCCCGTCCCCTGCCCCCTCCTTCCCCCCGGCCAAGCGCCCTCTCAGCCGAGGCCACAAAGGACTCCCAATATAAAGACAAACGTATTGAAGGCCCAGCATATGGGGTCTGTACCCAAACGATTTGTTTCTTCTAATAGTTTATTTTTTGAGACAGGGTCTCACTCTGTCACCCAGGCCACACTCTGCTAGGCAGGAATATCGGCTCACTGTACTCTCTACCTTCCGAGTAGCTGGGATTACAGGTGCAGGCCACCACACTCCCATTTTTTTTTCGGCATTTTTAATAGGGAAAGGGTTTCACCATGTTGCCCAGGCTGGTCTCAAACTCCTGACCTCTAGTGATCGACCCGCCCCAGCCTCTCAAAGTGCTGGGATTACAGGCTTGACGCACTGCACCTGTCGAGTTTCTTATTGATTAACTTTCTATGCCCCTTCATCCCGCCAGTAGGATTAAGCAGCAGTTGGGGGCCGTGATTGGGGAATCCATTGAATTCCTTCCATGGAGGTGGCTCTGCCGCTGTGAAGTTCCATTTCACACTCACCCACACCCAGACACTCCCACCTGCAGCAGCCCCATTTGCCCAAGGACAGGGCACACACTGGAGTTCTACACACTTTTACTGGATGGGCAGGAGTAGGGCTGACAGTGCACCACGCTCTCAGCTGGTGAGGCTGCTGATGTGTGTGCCCTTCCCGATGCCCCACAATCCACAGGCTGAGCTAGGATGCTCCTTTCCCAGTCCCACCTGACTACAGTAGTACAGAAAAAGGGGCCCTCTGAGTGAGGCGGCAGGCAGTGCTGGCCAAGCAGGGCTGTGTGACTAAGCGTGGCTGCTGACTCAGAACAGAGGACATTACAGGGTGACAAGGGAGGAGGGCAACAGTGTTGGGCATGCTGGCCCCCACCAGCCAAAGCTGCTTCTCTCCTTGCTCTCCATGCCACAGTAGGTAGCACGCTACCTACTGAATGAGCCTTGGGCCCAGCGGCAGCCCCCTCACTCTCCATCTTGGTTGGGCTGGATAAGCCCATATTCAACGGCTTTGTCCAGGCAGGCTGCAGCAGCCCTCGAGACAGGGCTCTGGTCACCCTTGGCCAGCACTGACAGGATCTCCATCATCTCGCTCTCCATCAGGGTGCTGGCAATCTCCCTGGAGGCCTCCACCATGTTCAACACCACCACGGCACCCCGGTGCTGCAGCTCCTGGTTAGGGCTCAGAAGCAGGGCCTGCAGGATCTCCAGCCAGTGTGTGGTCTGTGAGAAACAGGCAGATGTGAACCCAAGCAACAGGCTCAGCCTGGGCAAGAAACACACCCACACCCTCAGGACCTCCCCCTTCAGCTGCCACCATGCTGGGAGTTCCTGGTCCACCCCTGCTCCCTGCCAAGCCGAGGCACTGACCACTTGGGGAATGCGGCTGCAGAGCGTGGGCCGCATGGAGGTGAGCATGGCCAAGCCCCCGGCGGCCGCCCGCTGCAGCAGCTCATCCTCTTCTCCGCTGTACAGCACCAGCAGCTTCAGCCGGTCATTGCCCTGGGCTTCGAAGAGGTCCTGCACCTGTGGCCAGATGTGGGGAATGGACCACGTCAGTGGGGTGCAAAGCCCAGCCAGGGCACAGGTATCTCGGCATCCCCGCCTGTCATGAGCACTGGGACCAACCCTCACCTCCTTGCTCATGGCCAAGTTACACATGCACTCTGTGGCTGCCCGGCGGATCATCTCATGCTCCTCAAACATGTAGCCTTCGACCATGGGCACAGCCTTCTCCTTCAGGATCTTCTGCCTGCCGGCCCACAGGAGGAAGCGGCGAGATACAGCTTAGATATTGGGGTTTCTGGGCTGGGTGCGTTGGCTCACGCCTGTATCCCAGCACTTTGGGAGGCCGAGGCGGGTGGATCACGAGGTCAAGAGATCGAGACCATCCTGGTCAACATGGTGAAACCCCGTCTCTACTAAAAATACAAAAGTTAGCTGGGCATGGTGGCGCACACCTGTAGTCCCAGCTACTCAGGAGGCTGAGGCAGGAGAATTGCTTGAACCCAGGAGGCGGAGGTTGCGGTGAGCCAAGAAAGCGCCATTGCACTCCAGCCTGGGTAACAAGCAAAACTCCGTCTCAAAAAAAAAAAAAAAAAAAAAAAAAATGGGGTTTCACCATCACATTGGCCAGACTGGTCTCAAACTCCTGACCTCAGGTGATCTGCCCACCTCACCCTCTCTCAGGGATTACAGGCCTGAGCTACTGCGCCTAGCCCAGGTATTGTCCCTTCTAACTCTCATGTTGAACTGTAAACCCTATGCCCTCTACCTTGACCCTAAGCCTCGTGGGAGGTGACTGGGTCATGGGGTGGGTCCCTCGTCGCTTGGTACAGTCCTCTCGATAGTGAATTCTTATGAGATCTGGTTGTTTCAAAGTGTGTGGCATCTCCCCCGACTCTCTTGCCCTTACTTTCACCAGGTTACGTGCCTGCTCCTGCTTCGCCTTCTATGAGTAAAAGCTCTCTGAGGCCTCCCCAGAAGGTGAGCAAATGCTGACACCATGCTTATACAGCCTGTAGAACCACGAACCAATTAAACCTCTTTTCTTTAGAAACTACCCAGTGTCAGGTATTCCTTTACAGCAATGCGAGAACAGATGAACACAGGCAGCATCATTGAGACTTCCTACATCTGCTCCACCTCCGCACCCACACCCTCATGCAGTCAAGTCCTGGGCTGAGGATTTTCCTTGGCCACATCCAAGGACCCTCTTGCTGTGAACTACAGTGCCTGTTACCCATTTTTTTTTTTTTTTGAGACAGAGTTTTGCTCTTGTTGCCCAGGCTGGAGTGCAATGGCGCCATCTTTGCTCACAGCAACCTCCACCTCCCAGTGATCCTCCTGCCTCAGCCTCCCAATTAGCTGGGATTATAGGCATGCACCACCATGCCCAGCTAACTTTGTATTTTTTAGTAGAGAAGGGATTCCTCCGTGTTGGTCAGGCTGGTCTTGAACTCCCGACCTCAAGTGATCCGCCCACCTAGGCCTCCCAAAGTGCTGAGATTACAGGTGTGAGCCGCCGCACCTGGCCTCATTTGAGTACTGACCTGACCAGGCACCTATATCATCTTAGTTAATCCTCACCACAGCGCTGTGGTGAAGGTGCAGGTGTAATCATCATCACTACTGCTTTGCAGAAGAGGAAACAGGGGCTGAGTAATGAGTCCCACGTTCAAAGTCACAGTAATGAAACTAAAACATGCTGATATGGCACAGTGCTAGGAGCCAGGTACCTATGTAGTAAGTACTTTTAAGTGTATTTTCTCATTTCATTCTCCTCATCACTATGCCGTGAGGTAGGTGCTATAATCATCCCATTTCCCAGAGGGAGACGCTGAGGCAGAGCAGTGAAGTAACTTGCTTGTGGTGACACATTTGCATCAGGGAAGCGAGGCAATGTGCCTCCAGAGCCTGCCATGCCATGGTGCCTCTTGGCCTGGCTTCTCCTCTCTAAAATTGCCAAGGAGCCACTGAGGCCACAAAAGCCAGTGACTGGGATATTCCAAATCCTGACACCTGGCCCAGGCCCCGCATCCCAAGGAGGCTTACCGGAGCCTCTCGCTGATCCCCGCCAAGTTTGTTAGGGCCATGAGCGCCTCGAAGTTCTGCAGGCCTGAGCAGTTCAGGTGCAACAGGGACACAAGGGGCCGGACCACCTCGTAGATCTGCAATGTGCACCCTACCTGTCAGGGCTACTACCGCAGCCCCCACAGCCCCACCAACCCGGCGGGGAGGAGCCCACCCGCAGAGAGTGCTCCGCTCTCAGGCTGTCCTCCCTACCCAGGGCTCAGCAAAGCTGAAACTTCCTGCTGGTCCCAAAGGGCAGCTACAGCCCAGCCCACAGGCCACTAGGGACAGAGGGAGTGGAAAGGCCGGAGCAGGAAGATACACACCCGCTCGCCAGGGAAGGTCATCTCAGGGTTGGAGGTGATGGTGAGCTTGGCAAGGGCCTGGGCTGCTTTTGTCTGCCCCACATCCGTGCCTTCCAGGGCCAGTGGGATCAGTGCCTGCAGTAACAAGCCCGTCACTGCTCAGGACGTGCCTGGGAGTGTAAGACCCAAACCATCAGGCCCCAAGGCCCTGACTGTGTCACCCTCACCCTCCTCCCTCTCACAGGCTGGACTCCCAGTGTAGACCCTCTCACCCAAACATTTCCTGAAACCCCTACTAAGGGCTGGACATGGATTGTGCTGGGCACCAGAGCCATGGAGGTCAACGAGACAAAGGAATAGGAGGAGAGCCCAGGCCATTCACAAGCCTGCCCGCTTCCACATCCCTCTCTCAGCGGGACAATGTCCTTCTGGCCATTACTCATGTTTTCCTGTCCCACATCTAACACCCAGCTCTGGCGTGGCAGCCGCTGAGTCACGTTTTATAAGCTGATTGCTCAGCCGGCAGGAAGGGGTGTGTAAACCAGCTTACCCTGCCGCCTCCCTGGGCAACCACGGTGCCTCGGTCCTCTACCTCTTCCACCAAAGCCAGGAAGACCCTATGGGGAGAAGGCAGTGGTGGGCAGGCAGCTCTGGGACTCTGGCAGGCAGACGCTCCATTCCTGCACTCAGCAAGGAAGGCAGCCAGGCAGGCAGCCCTGTCACTCTAAGAGGCCCACAGCACTGGAACCTGCAGCCTCTGGAGCCACATCCGCAGCCCCGAAGCCCAGTAGTTGGGCAAGGCTGGCTCCCACCAAGGCTGGCTCACCTGGAGAGCAGCTCTCGGCAGGAATTGGTCAGCACAGGGCTCTCGGTCTTCACCATGCATACCATGGCTGACACCACACCCGCTGCCAGCAGCTTCTTCACTCGAGCCCGCACAAAGCTTGGCTTGTCCTGGGGGAGGAGGCAGCTTAGGAGGGGG